CGTGAATCCGACTTAGCGAGAGTCATTTACTACTATCTGGCTGGAAAGGTTGTCCGACTTACAGCTTAACGAGAGTTATATATGTTGTCCGACTTATCGAGTAAATTTTAAATAAAAATAAAGGCTGAGTGGTTTTGTCCGACTTATCCAGTGTCTGACTTATCGAGTGTCCGACTTATCGAGTTTCACTGTGTATATATTGGACGATTGACGTGCTACGCGTATTTGAATAATTCTAGACAACGCGCCATTATTTTTGCCAAATTTTATCGAGCATCAAAGCTATTGAGAAGGCCACAACTACCGCGGTAGCACGAAACTAATCTGGTAATAGCCCTCGGTCGGAAGAACACACCTACGCGAAAGATTAATCACTCCCAAACCCAGACCATCCGACCGTAATACTATCAGTGCTAATCAAACAATATTCAACCCCAACATCTCCACATACATACTGCAATATTATTCATAAAAACCATATGCATTTATTAAACCCCCCCCCCCCCCCCTTGGCACACCAAGGAATGCTGTCACATAATGACAGGTCTATCTTGTTAAAAAAAAACACTCCCATTCTTTCTAGTGAGTCCAAAATAAAAATCTCGATTGATTGTAGTAAGCTGGTGGAACTGCCAATATGCTCTGTATTCAGTTGTGTATTTTGAGTTTGTTCTCAATTTATCTTATGGAAAGTTTTCAGCTTTTACATTTTTTACTCATTTTCGAAATTAAAATTGTCTGACTTGACCTGGTACTGCTAACAAATGATAGAAAAAGAAAATTCGGCACTACTCCAAAGCCTTTACCTAGCACAGAGAAATAAGGCCAAGGCAATCAGTAGTGTGGATGCCATTCAGAAAGTGTCTTCTGAGTGCACTCGACACTCGTATATAGATTTAACAAGATGCTGGTCATATATCACTTATTATGGATTATAACAATCCCGTGCCATTTTTAACGCTTCTATAGCCATCCTGCAATATTCATGCCATTCTTCAGGAGTGCAATTACTCATATAAATCCATTTTAAACAATTTAGTCGATTATTATAGATATTCAAAGGCTTCTACGCTTTAACTTTTAGACTTACACATGTATACCTGTAATAGTAACGGGATTCAATTGTTGTTTTTACGTTGTTTTTTTTCGTATACTATTACTATACACTTTGGCATATTAACCCGATTTGCCTGTGTGACAATTTGATTGTTTCACAGCCATACGAAATTTTATCTGCTCCATGCGCGTGCAATTGACAAAAAAATTTTTTTCGCGCTTGCTTATTCAGTTAAGTAATTTCATATTGCAAATAGCGTTAACAGTACCCTACGTCTCTATGGTCATTCGCCCTTTTGCCGATGCTTGGAGGAGTAGTGTTTACAGTATATATCGCTATGACTTGTTACATGACTATTTTGTAATGGCTCTTAGCGCCAACGCCTGGACCTCTTTTCCAGTGTACTAGTACCCTACGTCTCTATGGTCATTCGCCCTTTTGCCGATGCTTGGAGGAGTAGTGTTTGCAGTATATATCGCTATGACTTGTTACATGACTATTTTGTAATGGCTCTTAGCGCCAACGCCTGGACCTCTCTTCCAGTGTACTTAACAATATCAGTATCCTACGTCTCTATGGTCATTCGCCCTTTTGCCGATGCTTGGAAGAGTAGTGTTTGCAGTATATATCGCTATGACTCGTTACACGACTATTTTGTAATGGCTCTTAGCGCCAACGCCTGGACCTCTTTTCCAGTATACGATATTGTTAAACGCACGATAATAGATAATATTATTCGCTTTCATCTTAATTACCTCCCATCCCAGATCACTAATAATGCATCTTTTTTAGATATGGACTTTCACCAATCCATTTCAAGTTATATATTGGGCTCTGAATATAAGGGTTGGAATGCTCTAAGCTGCCTTAACCACCTGAAGGATCATCATATACAATTTACTTCCGATAGTAAACAAGAAGTCTTAGACGCGTTTATGAATGCCTTTAAGGAAATTAGTGAGTCTGATATTGTAAAATCTAGGACAACAAGCAGGGCGAAAAAAATATACAATAATGCCCATGACACTTTTGAAAGAAAAGAAATTATTGAATTTTTTGAAAAAATGGATCAAGAGTTTGATGCGGTAAATAATTTATGTTTTTGGCCTATAATAATAACAATAATATCTATTAAAAGTATTAATTTATCATTCATACATTCATAGAGGCAAAATGAACGGGAACTCGAGAGGTCTTTCGATAGGAATGGATGTGAACTTTTAAAGAAGTCTAGCGATTTCAATACACTGAAACTTTTATCGCGTTATGCAGAAAAGTCATCAGAAGTGCTTGAAAAAGTATTATCGGCGATTTTATTCGTGTTTTATGAATCTATATACCTGCTTGTACTCACCACATTTAATTTCGAACTGTAGGAAAATAGTTATTCTTTAAGAAAAAAACGAAATATTGATTACAACGAGGAACGTATGATAAAGAGGCTACATCAAGACACGCCAACACCATGCAGTCATCCGTCATTGCCAATGGATAATCTGTTCATTGAGGATAAAGAAGAAGAGGACGAGGATGGTGTCATTATTATTAATGATGTAGACGAACTGTGCTTTGAAAAGGGCGACCCAGCAAATGATCTTAAAATAGGAGACACCAATGTGTCCCAGTTATTCCGCCAGTATCAAAATGAGTCATTAAAGATCGCGAAGACTGGCGGTTTACTTGTTGAATCAAACGTGCATGAAATATTGTCTCTGTCTTCGATATTTCTTCTTACTCCAGGTTCTTACTCAAATACGATGATTGACATATTTAGTTCTCCTTTACTTGATGAAATATACAAAAAAATAGTCTTGACACAGCAAGTAGAATTAGACTCCGAATGCGAATTAAAGTTTAGGAAAGCGACAAAGAAAGCGATAAAGGAGTCACGTGAATGTGCTGTGGACTGGCTGTGGTCGGAACTTTCAAATGATCAGATCTTAAAGGAGAACTTGGGCATTGTATTCTTAGAGTGTTTGAGATCGTTACCTACGACAAAAATTAAAAATCAACCCAGCGAGATAACATTGATTACAAATCATCTAGACCACATCATGAAGACGATGCATAATCCAGATAAACACATTGTTGAGTGGCCTAATAATACAGGTCTCGATGAAAGCAAGGCGAGAAAACTACAAGGAAGAAGCAGACAACCGGACTTCACGATATCTATTATACATCAGTTACAGAAGAATGGTGTTGTATTCGTGGGTGAAGTCAGCCCGCCTTCGGAAAAAAACAATGTGTATAAAAATTGTAATGACTTAATTCGAGTTGGCATATTTATGAAGGATTGCCTAGATTCTGCTATAGATAAGGGTGCTGACATAAAAGTCCTAGGTTTCCAATGCATCGGTAAGAAAAATTACAAGTTACTTTTTTTTCTTATGCAAATTCTTTGTAAATAACTTTGGGCATTTTGCTTCTATAGATCATACGATTGACTTTTATGTGATGGACCTTGTCCAGGGAATTTATATCTTGATCAACATAGGACAGGTGTCAATTCCTACTTTCTTGAAAGAAATATCGAGTTTTATTGAGGATATGGAACTTCTTCTAACAGTACGAAAGATTTTCCGGCAGTCAGTTGATATTTTTTTTGATAAACTATGCAATCCTAGTTCACCGTCAACAAAAGCAAGTCTCAAACGTGATACACTTGAAACGCCTAAGTTTAAACAATTAGTTAGTAAAAGACGAGACTGCCACAGACAATGTCCCTTTTAGTTTGGACGTTTTGATAAATAAATTTATCTGTAATATCGTGCTTCAAATGAAGTAATAATAAAGATTTGAGTTATGTTTTATCTTTAATATTCGTTAAAATAAAGAAATTATACAGTAATATTTAAATTTTAGTATTAGTATGCTATCTATGTACAGTACTGGACAAAAGTAATGGCGATTCTGTTTTTTGTTGATAGCATCTTGATATCGCGTTTTAGGCGTTTGTTTACTAACACCAAATTGAGCAGGACAACAGTA